CACGCGGGGCGTGGGGGAGGGGGCGGTGTATCGCTCACACCTGTTCCCGGGCCTCTTTCGATCGCAGCCGGGACGGTCATCGTGGAAGTTTTAGTCGGTTGGAGTCCGGCACTGCCACGCCGTTTTTCCCCAGAAGCGACCTGATGTCCGTGCGGATTTCCTCCACAGTAATAAAAAAAAAGTATTTTTTTGTGTTTTTTCTGTGTTTGTTTTTGGTGTCTTTCCGGGGGAGGGCCAGGTTGTATCTCCATCGGGAGTCTGTCGTCTGTCCATTTATGTTTTCTTCGTAAAGTATGGTTTTGATCCCTATTTTTCTTTTTATGTGATATATTATTGGGATGTTGTTTTGGTCCTGGTGGTAGTTTTTTTCGTCTAGGTATAGGAAAGCTTCTGGGGGGATGTGGCCTGTTGTGAGGGTGTTTTTGTAACATGCGTTGTTAGACAATAGGCAGCTGAAAATTAAGCTATTTTCTTGTATTTTTGCCGCTTGCGCGATGTGACAGTCGATGCGGTGAATGTTGGCTAGGTCGTATATTGTTTTATTTTTTACATATTTTTTGAATCCGCTGTGTTCGGACCTGTATGTACTTAGCCCTGATGCATTTTCTTTCGAATATGCGGATTTTTACCATCTGGGAGGCTGATATGCTGTACCAGATTGGGCAGCCGCAGGTAATGATCGGTCTGCTTAGTGCTTGGTAGCATAGTATTTTTACTTTGCTGTCGAGATGTTTGGAGTAGAATAGTCCTTTTATTTTCCAGAATGCTTTATTGGCCTTAGCAAGTTGGATTTTGGTGTGCTGCTTGTAGTTTAATTTGTCGTCTATGTTTATTCCTAGGTATTTTATGCAGTTTTGTGTGGTATGAGTGCCCCTTTGTTTGCTTTTTCTCAAGTGCCCCTTTGTTTGCTTTTTCTCTTACTTGGAATTTTCTGCAGTGTTCTCTTTCTGTTGGGCCGATTTCACTTAACTTGGGTCTGAACAGTATGGTTTCGCATTTGCTTGTGTTGATTTTTAGTTTCCATGCGTGGTAATAGTCGTTTATTTTTTCGAAAAGTTCTTGCAGTTCAGTTTTTATTGTCTTAGTTTTGCGGCCTGTTACGTAGATGATTAGGTCATCTGCGAAGGCTATGGAGCATTTGTGGGTGGATGTATTGAGATTAAAGAGGTTTAGTAAGGCACTGTTGTAAATACTGAAAAGTAGCAGGGAATTTACTGTACCTTGTTGCAGACAGTTTGTTATGGAGGTTTCTTTGCTTGATGTGTTTGAGCCGTCGGTCATTACGAATGTTCTGCTTATGATCATGTCCCAGACTATTTTAATTAGGTGTTTAGGAAGGTTTATCTTGATCAATTTGTATATGAGACCTGGGATCCAGACTGTCAAAAGCTTTTTCGAGGTCTATTAAGCAGGCGGCTACTCGTTGTTTTGCGTTTAGAGCCCAGCAGATGTCCCACGTAAGTTTGTTTATTGCGTGAATTGTGGAGTGTTTGTGCCAGAAGCCGAATTGATTCTCTGGGATTATGTCATTTTTTGTGCAGAAGGAGGTTAGGAGGTTGTTTATGATTATTTCAAATACTTTGCTTATGTTGAGGAGTAGACTTATGCGTCGAAGGTTTGCGGGTGATGAGCCGTCTGTATCTTTTTTTGTAATAGCTATCAATTTGGCTTTTTTCCATTTTCTGGGGAAATATGTGTTGTTTAGAGCACTGTTGAAGAGTACTGTGTAGTACCATTTTATTTTGTTCGGTAGGCGCTTGAGTAAAATGTTTGGGATGCCGTCGAAGCCGGAGGATTTTTTGTTGTTTAGTTTGGAGAAGTTTAGTTTGTGTTTGGTTGATTGTAATTTGTGAAGTAGTTTATTTCTGGATCAGGTTGTTTGGGGTTGTCTGCGGTGTTTTCGTTTGAGAATCTGCAGACTGTTTTGTTTAGCGTTTTGTCTTATTCCATTTCATTTTTGAGTTTGTTTGTTTCTGCGATGATAATTCTGTTTAGTTGATCTCGGCCCACGTGTTCGTTTTGTGTGTATATTTTGGAAAAGTGGGTGCCGATAATGTCTAGTTTTTCTGTTGTTTTAGTTATTATGAAGTTACCCTCGGTGTCTTTGGTGGTGAAAGATTTTTGAAGGGAGATCGGTTAGCGAGAAAATTAATCGTAATTTCAGTAGAAAGGAAACCGTTGGATCTTCTTTATGTTGCACAACAGCACATGAAATGTGGAGGAAGTTGAATATAGTATATGACGTGAAGTCGGGTGAGAATCTAAATATGGTCCAGAAGCAGTTCGTCAATTTTAAATGGGAAGAATCTGAAAATGTCTCTTACAACCTATCAAAGTTGGAACTGATAGCGGCAAAGATGAAAGCCCTTGGGAGTAAAACTGAGAGAAAATGCTGATAACACGCATTTTCAACAAATTTGATCATTTTCACAGTGCGTGGGATTCCGTGGAAGAACGAAAGAAGACCTTAGACAGGCTTAGTACCAGGCTGATGACGGAAGAAATCAGATGGAAGAAAGACGACCAGGAAACATCGGTGGCACTGGTAACAAAAAGTAATAATTATAAAAGGGAACAGCAGAAGCAGTCAAGTAAACGTGAATACGAGAAACAAGGACCAAGCTGCTTTAACTGTGGAAAAGTTGGCCATCTAAAGAAGGATTACTTTAGATGGTTTATATGCAAAAGGAAAGGCCACACCAGTAAAAATTGTTTTAAAAATAACAAAAGAAGCAACAGTAGAGACAACCAGGAACCTAGAAATCAAAATCGAGATCATAGCGGAATTGGTCTATTAGGAAGCACCTCAGCGATACAAGCGACAAACCCTGATGTTTGGATAATCGATTCAGGAGCTACGGATCACATGACAGGAAAACGGGAATGGTTCAGCGCCTTCAAAGAATTCGATAACACGGTGAAGATAGAGATCGGCGATGGTACATTGATACGTGCGGCAAAGGAAAAATCAGAGTAGAGACTTTTGTGGACGGCAAATGGATAACATATACAATGAACGATGTTCTGTACGTGCCAGGTATGAAAACAAATTTATTTTCGATTAGATCCGTCGCAAGAAGGGGCATAGATTTCTGTGTTTCAAAGGAAGGGACCAATTGTATATTTTTACAAAATCAGAAAATAATAGCAAGAGGTTCTGTTATCGGAAATTTGTATAAAGTAGATATGCGAATTATCATACCGTCAGTTTGTAATTTTAGCAATAGAACAGAGTCAAACGCGGACACATTGCAGTTATGGCACGAACGGCTATGTCATCAAAACATCAGACACGTTAAAGAGTTCTTAAAGAATTCGAATATGAAAGTTGTGGAGGATAGGAACTTTTTTTTTGTGAAGGTTGCGCGTACGGGAAACAGCATAGATCGAATATTCACAAGAAAATCAACCGGGCTACTAAACCTCGCGAAATTATTTATGCGGATGTATGTGGACCTATGGAAGTCCAGTCATTAGGCAGGAAACTGTATTTTCTTACATTTAAAGATGCTTTTTCCAAATTCACAAAGATTTACTTCTTACAAAGTAAGTCAGAAGTAATTGAAAAATTAAAAACTTTTTGCCTAGAAGTTGAGAATCAATTTAACGATAAGATTAAAGAAATTCATAGTGATGGAGGGAAAGAATTAAAAAATAAAGAGATCAAAGAATTGTTAAGAAACCAGGGAATTAGGCACACAATTAACGTCCCATTCACTCCTGAACAGAATGGTGTCGCAGAAAGGGAAAATAGAACAATAGTAGAGGCAGGTCGGTCGATGCTATATTTGAAACCAAATCTACCGCTGTTTTTATGGGCCGAAGCCATGAACACAGCAGCACATGTCACAAATAAGACTGGGCCGACAAGACAAGACAAGAAAACAGCGTATGAACTGTGGTACGGGAAATGGCCAGGAAACCGCCGAATTTAGAAAAGTTTAGAGTTTTCGGTACTGAGTGCTTTGCACACATACCTGCGGAGAAGAGAACAAAACTAGACAAAAAGGCTAACAAAGGATATTTGGTAGGCTATTTAGATGACGGACGAGGGTATCGAGTGTACGTGCCAACAGTAAGAAATGTAATATTAAGCCGTGACGTAATATTTAAGCCCGAACTAGAAAGTGCGAAATTTATTAATTTAAGTTTGCCGAAAATTGTCGAGTGCGAAGATGTGAATGCGCAGAGCGATAGAGCATGTATGTATGAAAGTGCAGAGAGTGAACATGAAAAACAACCTTATGGAACTAGCGGCAACGTGAGACAATTGAGAGATAGAGATAAGATCAAACGAACCGATTTTTATCGTAATCTAGTAACGTACGTAGCGGAAAAATTACCGGTAGATTTTAACGAAGCGATGAGTTCCGAAAAGAAAGAGTTATCGGAAACGGCTATGAATGATGAAATGAAATCGCACCATGAAAATAAGA